CTAGATGGCTGCTTGTTTATCTGCAAGCCTTTAAGACGCCAGACGCTATATCTTTTGATAACCGGGTACCATCAGCTTTCTTCACATTTGCTTATGCATACATTTGTCTTCAGCGATCATGTCAGGAAGGTGCCCAGCACATTTTTAATGCTGTTTTTGTGGTAAAATTAGGTGGCTCGGCTTATACTCGAGTATATACAGTAGGTAAACATAGATGACATTTTAAATGCTGTTTTCGTGGTAAAATTAGGTGGCTCGGCTTATACTCGAGTATGTACAGTAGGTAAACATAGATGAAGAAAGTAGTTGAAAATTTGCAGTGTTCACTCTAGAGTTGTTTTCCTTATAAGCCATACTTAAGATAGTGCCCCTTTTCAACAGGTGGCTGGCAGGCCATTTCATGATGAAGACATAATAAGCAGGCTGCATTGTACTGTGCTCCCCGTGCTGCTGGAGCCCGAGTACCAGAAAGGCCCTGAAAGGGAGAAGAGGAAATGAGAAAACAGGTTGCCCCAAATTATTGAAATAGATGTAATAGTCCCTGAAAACCTTTTTTGTGAGCTTACTGTTTTATTTTCTGCAACTAGAAATGAAACAAAGCAATTAGGCTCCTTTAATGTGTCAAAATCTGAAAACTGCAGAAATTCATTAATTCAACATTTATAACTTCGTATAAAGTACCTATAACTACAGGGCATAGACCTGTCCTTTCAAAAGCTTGCAACCTGATGTAGGAGACTAGAGACACAAATAACTAGAGACAAAAAGAAGGGTATACTAAGGCATAAAAAAAGCTGATGAAGGAAAATATTAATTGTAATCAATGGCAATGGGGAGACTGGTTATATCTGACCTCCTCTGGCTTCCCTGTTGCCAGGAGGCAGGGATCAGAAAAGCCTCAATGGCATAGCCCCACCTTCATTACCTATTGCGACACCACCTGCTCCTTCCACGTCACTGCATCTGCACTGGCTCCATCATTTGTTGCAAAGCCCACACTGAACTCTCAAACAATACTCAATTAAGGGGGTTATTAGGGAAGTTACAGCAAACAGTAAGGATGCAGTCATTGGTCTCAGCCAGCAACCAAGTCTTTCTCTGGTTCCCAACTTCTCAGCCACGTGGTTGCCAAGTCTCTTTCTCATTCTCAGCCTCTCAGCCGTGTGGTGCCTTGGCTTCAGTGGGTCAGGAAGTCAGCGCACTTACCACTGTCCTGTTCTTTAATCTGGGCCAGACAAGAAGAAGGTAGCCCTTGGTCTCAGCGCTGCAGCCTCTGATGCATCTAGTCCCCACGGCCACTGCCCCTTCAGACAGATCATAAACTCGCTTTCCCAAGGTCCTCAGGGTGTCTTTTCTGCTGCTGCTTCAAAGATGGTTCATCATCATACCAGAGGCGTGCTAACTAAAACTGAGAATCCCCTCTTATTAGTGTCACACACAACCTACGTGCACGATCCCACCCAGTCATTTGGTGGGAGTTCCAGATTTGAGCCATATTAAGAAATTTCACTCCCCCACAATTTCTTTCCTCTGAGATGGATGCTGGAAAGACTTAAAATTTAGAGGATCCTGAAAGGTGGTTCAAAAGCTGGAGATGGGCGAAGGAGGAAGGGGCGTTCCAGGCAGAAAGAATCCTTGGAGAGAGTTACTGGGACAACAAAGTATAGGCT